CTTGTTCTAATCTTGAGGATGATCTTTGGGTTTTTTTCTGAGGGGTAGGCGGGAGGAGGACTTATTTTTCAAAAAAGTGCGTTCATTTAAAGTCTCGTATCTTCAATAGCTGTAAATATGAAAATTTCCTTATGAATTCGCTTTCAATTGGATACACTGAGGACAGGTTTTTGATTTTGAATTTATGCATAGAAAGTGATGCCAGCGATTAAATATTCCTCTCTCAAATACGATACCGTTCCATGAGAAGTTCCATTGTTATCGTAAGCTATTGTACATGTACGACGGTCACTCAATAAGTTATCTACCTGAATAAGAAAGAAACATCCAAGGGGGAAAATAACACTTTCTTTTTCAATGTAGTCACCATTAAACTCAACACACTTATTCCACTTTGATTCCAAGGATTTTATTCCCTGGGAATAGAAGTCAACTTCTTGTCCATCAAACCAATCAGAAATGGCAACTTTCAGCTCTTTATTGCATGAAAATATTTTTTGCCGCAAACATTTTTTCAGGTGTCTGAACAGAAAATAGTCACTAGGAGCCAGATCCGGGCTGGAGGGAAGATGGTTGAGCTCCTGAAAGCCACACTACCTCCCTGCTGCCTGAACTTTCCATGATTTGTGGACGGGTGCGTTGTCATGGTGACTACATTGAAAAAGAAAGTGTTATTTTCCCCCTTGGATGTTTCTTTCTTATTCAGGTAGATAACTTATTGAGTGACCGTCGTACATGTACAATAGCTTACGATAACAATGGAACTTCTCATGGAACGGTATCGTATTTGAGAGAGGAATATTTAATCGCTGGCATCACTTTCTATGCATAAATTCAAAATCAAAAACCTGTCCTCAGTGTATCCAATTGAAAGCGAATTCATAAGGAAATTTTCATATTTACAGCTATTGAAGATACGAGACTTTAAATGAACGCACTTTTTTGAAAAATAAGTCCTCCTCCCGCCTACCCCTCAGAAAAAAACCCAAAGATCATCCTCAAGATTAGAACAAGTATTAAAAATTCATGAAATATTTCGAGGCAATTATTAACATTTTAACAATATCCCATCGCATAGAAAATCAAGAGAATTGATATTACTCAATCAGGGAATAACTTTTGCTTGGATGAATCGAGATGGAATGACCCCCTATGCCATCTGATTTGAGAATTTACAATCTAGACTCCTAGAGACAACATTGGCAACATAACATGACTAACATACTTCGGAGTGCACTGAAGCCCACACAGGTGGGAACACAGACTTTGACATGACATGAAAAGGCAGGTTACGCTTGTCGGATGACGCTGTGACAGTTCGTCAACGATACGTCGCCTGTAATTTGGAAGATGCATTCAGGAATTTAAAAAAATATAAATTCCCCTCATCATCACTCACTTGTCATATGTGATAAAGCGAAAATAAGCGAACTGTGAATATCATCGTCAAATCAGTTCTTTGTCTAAAAACATTGACAGTAAGAGGAATGTGAAATGACAACTCACCCTTACGGGCATTTCGAAAGGTCTCGAGTTCTCCTATCTCAGGTTTGACATGGCAAGTTTTTTTTTCTCTGATGAATTCTGTTGGTGAGTGTTTTTTTGCAAGAGAAATATAGTAATGCTATTTGCAGGCAAGTACATTGGATAATTGGGAATAAGGAACTTCTGGAATTGACGTGATACTTGAATGAAGCTTTTATCTTCGTTTGGAGGCGTTTTCACTAAATCTTCTAATCTAATATGTATAGACGATCGTGACTGACTGACACCAATTCTAAGCATGTTCTAGAAAGTTTACAAAATTTGAAACATGGTACATATACTGTATACATTTTGGGAAGCTGAGTTCAGAAAAAATCCGATATTGGAGGTACATGCCCTGGGGGTACAGATTTTGGGGGGAAACGTCTTTTTAAAATATATGTTGTGACGTATGAGGATGGGATTCAGAGGATGGACTTCATGTCATGGGTTTGATGATGCAATGGTAGCACATCTGACCGGCAATCAGGAGGTCCGGATGCAATTCCCAGCCATGGCATGGCTCGCATTTGTTTTTATTTTTCCTTCCATGTCCCGTTACTCATTCTCCCTCCATAACATTATTTTTGCTTGAGTAAAACAGAGTGACATGGAAAGCTGAAACTTGGCATGGACGTGCCTAATGAAACGATTAGTTCAGGAAAAATGCATAATTTTAGATCCATGCACTGGGTGGATATTTTTGGGGGGCTCACGTTTTCAAGTATTTTTTTATGTCCTGGTGTGTTGAGCTGGTGTGGAAAGATGAAACTTGGTACATAACTACTTAGGACGCTGCAGAAAAATTCAGACTTCGGAAGTAAATGCCCTGGGGTCACAAATTTCAAAAGGAGGTGTTTCCAAACATTTTTTTAAATATCAGTTAAACTGATGAACATGGACCCAAACAGCATGTTTGTTAATTTTACGTAAACTGAATGTAAATGTTTTGTGGATTTTATATCATTTTTACACAAACCATTGTCAAGATAATCCCAACATGTTTGCATAAATGTCATCTCTGTGATACGTAAACGGTGATGTGCCTTTAACTAGCCAATCAGCACCTTTAAAAGAATTGATATACTGCATCTCCCATTCCTTTCCATACTTCAGTACTCAAGAGTGGTTGGATGAGAACACTCATCCTCATCAGCACTCAAAAGTACCTAAACAACCTACCACTTCCTCCTCCCGTACTGGAACCTCGGAAGAAGGAGTAAATGTTCAAGGAGCTTTCTCCCATTTAGGGTAGAGAAGATTTAGTACTGAAGAGCTAGGATTCTTCTCTTCCTAATTCCATGCACGGCTGTAATAAAAAGCTTAACTTCAGCATTTAATGATTCCCTGAGTCATATATTATAAAAATATACATAATAATTTCATGCTTTCCTTATATATATTCATGGATTGCACAATAAAAAGTGAACGGATGGTAAGAAAATCTAATATTCTATCAGGAAAACCAGTACTTAATAGTATTTGTCGGATGCAGGGAACAAGGGTTCCATCTAGTGAGGAATCTTGGTACTGCAACTGCGGGATGGTCAGCTAAAGTTTCATATGGATGGTGTGACGTTAATTTTGCATAAACTTGATATCATGTACTTCACGTCAAATGGAGTGACGTCTAGTTTATGTAAAATACACGTACACTTTGGTGACGTAAATATAGGAACGTAAATTTTACGTAAACGTGATGTCATTTTCATGGCAATCGTAATAAATTTACATTGTTTGCAAGGAATTGATATATTGTTTGCCTAAGCATGCTGCTTGGGGAAACCTGAAACTTTACATGAATGTGACCGCTGACGTACTGAACTCAAATGTCAAACATCAAATTCCCAAAATATTTTTGCGGTTCGTATTTCTTGGGGACGTAACGTCTTCAAGTATGTTTCCATATTCTACAGAATCGGGCAGAAATAGAAAAGTAGCTGGCGCACGCATAACGGACGTTATGTTGATTTAAGGAAAAATTCAACTTTTGTTGTGCCTCTCCCCAGGGCAGAGCTTTTGGGTGGGTCGCTTTTCCAAATACATTTTTTTCCGCCAGCAAAAAGGGGAAAGGTATAAGGCTGAAACAGGGTGGCATGGCCCTGACCCTGCGTTTCAAAAGAAAGAAATTTGAGTTAAATACCCATCGGGTCATTTTTTCAGTTCCATTTTCCTGAATTTCTTTCTTCATCCAACGAAACAGAGACAGAAAATTTAAACTTCCCTCAGAAGTTCTTGCTTGATGGGTGAGTATAGGAAAAATCTTAATTTTACAAGATTTACCGTTAGCGTAGATTATAGGAAGGAAGTATTTCATAATGTATTCTCGACCCTTAAAAATGGGACACAGGAAAAGATTTCAAGTTAGGCACACTAGAAATCATGGTAATAGTAATGATTTTGATAAAAGTCATTACTTTCTTCCCCATAAGTCACGTATTTCAATGGGGACGTACTTTAAATACGTGTTTGGCATTTCGCAAAGTATAAATGAATTAATCACTATTGAAGGTAATGGAGTGCCGATGGCGCGACTATAGCGAGTTTGTTTGCCTGAAGCGCAAAGAAACTCGCTTGCATCTAATATAGATAGACTATCGTGACTGACTGAGTGACTGACTGATGCTAATTCTAACCATGTTCTGTACATGATGAGAGGCTGAATCTGGCTTCTCAAATAGCTGTTAGATTGCTGACTCCAGAAAAATTCCAATTTTTGGGGTAAGTGCCTTGGGGCACATTCCCGGGGGTCTCATTTTGCAAGCTTAGGTCTAACCCTCAGACGGACGCCTAGGCCTATGCCATTTTCAGGCATAGACTTCCCTCAACAAAACAGACGGAATATGAGTAGCTGCTAGGTTGTCGACTCCAGAGAAACTACAACAATGAATACGGGTCATTCCACGTCAGATCGACCAGAGATTTTGGTCAACCATTATCGATTTGGCTGAAATTTGATGAGGAGGTAGCGTTTGACCCATGAACGGGAAATCCAAAATAATTTTTTTTCTGACCAATGGTGTGTCCGTGGCGAGGTCACAAAATCACCAAACAACAAAAGGAGGTCTATTCTAACAGGGGGAGGTCTATAGACCTCCCCCTGTTGAAGGTGTTAGGACAGTCGGAATTAGATGATCGATGAAGAGCTGGGACTAGTGGAGTTGGGGAAGAGTAATGCCAGAGGAAAGTCACACCAGGTCTACCATGCCATCATCCATCAGGTCTCTAGATGTGGGTGAAGAAAAAGGAGAGGAATTCAACGATTTTCCGCCTCAATGGATCGGAGTGCTTATCGGGCTGCACCAAAGAATGTTCGGAAATTGGACCGCTTCCTACACCTGGATGCGGTTCGCCAATCATTCCAAACCCATGTTATAGAAGTGAAGCGGCAGGCCACGGTATTCCACTTAAACATCCCATGGATGAATGGAAATGGCTGAATCAGAGATCAGTGGAGCTGCTGTCATCCTCGGTGTCTTCCTCGGGGTTTTCACTGTCCTGAAGGGAGAAAAAAACAGTCCTATGAATGTCGAAAGCCATGTGCATTTATAGGGTGACCCAAAAAGGGGCACTCTTTAAATGTGCATTTTGGGTGATACTTCCATTGATATATATTTCTGTTTACATTTCATGGAAAGAAGAATGACCTAGCTACAAAATCCTTTTTTTCAGACTTGAAATATTTTAAACAGTGACTTAAAAGATAATTTTTAAATATTGGTTATGAGAATTGGGCGCTGCACCCTCCGGCTTCACCTAAAATGCGCATTGAAAAAGAGTGCCCTTTTTTAGGGCCACCTTGCAGGTAGGAAACACGGAGATGCAACTCACAGTAAGGACACCGAGGTATTGTAGCATCCACTTCTCGTCATCTACCACATCCAAACTGGGATGCCTTCTGCCATCCTTGAAGAGGACAAAAGCATCATCCATGAAGCGCTTGCAGAAGTCAAATTTCCCTTGTTTTAACTTACGTAAGTACATACATTTTGCTAAATGCCCCACAAAGTGAGCCTTCTTACTCGAATAATCTGGCAAACTTACCTTGGCGTGCCGCCACATACCTTCAATGGTGTTCTTATGGGTTGGTGGATAAGTGCTCTGATTGACGATCTCTAGTTTGTGGTTCACCGTCAGGTGTTTGTTTCGGACCCTAAAACTCTACAGTAATATACGTCGGGTTGTTAGTCAGTATTAGTTACAGGGTCCTGTTTGGGTCTAAGCTTACTCCGCCTCATCGGTCTCTGAATTCCTCTCCTTGACGGGAACGAGGAAACACCTTCCAGTTCCTCGCTCCACGCCGCCAAAAACCCATTGACCCTCGACGTGGTGGCCTCGGTGGTATTTCCTGCGGCCGAACTAATTTTCGTCCAACTCCACGATTTTCCCCTCTCCACCGATCCACTCCCCATTCCAAATGCATTCCTCAATGTATACCTGCGATAAAGGAGACTTATACATATACCCAAATATATGAGAAATGTCGTGACATGCGTGCAGAAAGTCGCACCTCTCTATAGAAGGAGACCCAATCCACGACTGTCCTGGAGGAGACTCCTGTCTCATGAGTGATGTACTCCAGGGGCAAGTCATGAATCCAAAGATGAATGATATGCAAAATTTCG